AACATTTGAAGGCCCTTTGAGAACCCAAAAAGACAATAGCTTACGCATTACTCCTAAATTTGTGAGGTGCATATAATCTAAAACAAAAGATTTTGTAATATCAAAATTAGGTAACTTGRTAATTATTGAAGGCATTGGTGAATTATGATATTCTTCATTTCTGCAATTTCGATAGTCATCATCAGTTCTTGGTGCAGAATATATATTTGAATATGGGAAACAAACACGATTATTTACATACTCCCCTTCAATAATGCATCGTGAACATGAATTAAAACCTGAGTGATATTTTGTCTTCAACACAAAACAGCGAGCAGGGACATCACAACAAATTACTTTAATAGAAACAAACACTTTTAAGTTGTTAATAATAATTCCATTATCAGATAATTCACGAGCTTCCATAACAAAATCAYACATAAAATCATCACTGTCCTTAGGTTTGGAATTTCCATGATAAATACCTACAGGAAAAACTGTTTGTTTTAAGTTGTCTGTGTTCATAATAAATGCCAAAATAGGCCATAGTTGGCTATTACTAGACTTAGATAATGGCAATCCATCGATGCCTATTGCAATTTGAATAACTGAATCATTTACTGAACTGTCTTGTAAACACTGAACTATACCGTTAGCCAAACCGAAGTGATGATATATTCCAGGGTCGACATTACGAATATATTTTAAATTTGATGACTGGGGTGTAGCTAATAAAGTTCGGCTGTCTTTAGGTAATTTAGAAAAACATTTATGTTTTTTTAAAATTGATAACAGTTGATTCATACTATTAAATGTTATTTTACAACTAACTGCCCAGTCCGCGAGCATTTCATTAATGTTAGGCTCGGTTTCTAGTGTTTCTACAGAAATGAATTGATCATCTTCATCACTGCAAGTCCATACCTTGAAATGTGTCATTTAATTTAGTGTTGTTAACAAAAGTTGACGATTTAACATCAAAAATAATATCAGTGGTGTCACAAGCAGCATTTATGGTATTAGCGGCAAGATCATCTTCACAATTCAATGAAATTGAATCATTTTGAAGAATATCATTTATTTGTGATTCTTGTGGGTTATAATCAATGTTATCTAATTCAGCTTTAATTCTTCTTAATTTTGTT